TCTAGCCATGTGTGTCCGTCCATCTGTCTGTCGGTTGAAAGCACGATAGAGGCCGAACGGCAAGAGGTAGATGATTGGTCGATAACTGACCCTACCCCTCATATAGGGTGCCCTTCAAAAAATGAATTTTATGCTCATTATTGGCTAAAAATATGAGTAAAGCGATGAAATTTGACATAAGTAAGTTTCTTGCGAGCCAAAATCTCTCTACCGAATTTTATATGGATCGATCCCTAATGGACCCTACCCATATAAAGTCCCCTTCAGAAAATGACATTAACGCTCATTACTGGCTCAAAAATGCGAGAAATTTTATAAGGATCGATCCATAACTGACCCTACCCCCCATATAAGGTCCCCTTCAGAAAATGATTTTAAAACTCATTACTGCCACAAAATAGCGAGTACCGCGATGAAATTCGACATGAACAAGTTTTATGAGAACTGAAAACTTTCTACCGATTTTGATGAAGGTGGATCGATAACTAATCCTATAATATATAAGATTCGGCATGGGCGAATATAACACTCTTACTTGTTATTTTTTTATATTCACAAAAAATGAATATATAAGATTTTCTTTATAAGCACATTGTGGCATATACAAACAATTTTGTTTATAATCACTTTAGCGATATAGTCCTCAATTTGTGTGCAATTAAAGGTTGTGACTATAAGCGAAAAGTACTGTAGCACCTTTTTCAAAAAAATATGTGCAGCCGACGAAAAAAAGAGCTAGATTTGCACTTTAAATGCCACACAGTTGCGTATTTAGTAAAAAATACAAAGAAAAAGAAATTTAAATTTTGCAAATATTTTAAAATGATCATAAAAAGTTCGTATTTGCAATTTTTTAATGCGCATTTGACTCGTAGGTGTTAATTATAATGAGATTAAATTTACGCGATATTACAACTGTATTCGCAAATAACTATGAATGTCGCATTTTTAAAAAATTTACGCATATTTTGGCAAGTTTGTAAAGGTCCTGCTATGTCCTTATATCTGTGACATCAACAAGATATACGTTAAATTGCGTGAAATTACTACAGCTATCAAATACCGTTACATAAATTTAATTTGATTAATGCGCGCACATGGACTAACTAACGAAATACAACCGTATATATATGTATTTGTACCCAAAGGTATTAATGAAATTATTACAGTGGACGTCCACTAGTACGAATTATATAGTGTCAGGCCCTTTCGTAATACCGAAAAATTCGTATTATTGAACAACACATTTTGTATGTTTAAATTCAAATAATACACATAAAATATTGGATTTTATTTATTTTTGTTTTATTTTTCATGAAAAATTACATAACGGAACAAAATATAATAAATGTGTATTATTTTAAATAAATTTCTTGTACATATTTACGTATATGAATTGTTAATTTTGAAAGTATCGTGAGTCCAATGGTTGAAATGAGATATATGTAGAAGGTTTTAAATTTTAATGTTTTTAAAAAGATGTGTGCCAAAGACAATTTGCAATTTACATATGTGTTCTAAAATGTATTAAAATGTTCAGATTACATAAAACTTTTATTAGAAACTTGAATGGAATATACCACAATTCTCTAATTTATAATTTTCTCTTAAAAATTAGAATAGTTATCCTTAAACCCATTGTTTGGAATGTGGAGTCACACTACTTTCAAAATTAACAGTTCATACATACATATGTATATAAATATCATTTTACTTATTAAAAAATCCATCATTTAACATCGATGTTTATTACATTGTAAAATGATTTTTACTGCTTTTTCAATAACAGCGCTTTTGAGGCTTCAATATTGTTCTCAGCAGAGTTATTGTCGGGAACTAATAAAATACTTTCCTCATTGGCGTTATCATCCAATTTAATTTCTTCTCTTGGGTCATCAAAATTCCAATAAAATAAATTAACACTAAATAATTGTTGATTTGTAAATATACATGCAGTAAATTGTATGTATAGGATTTTTAAAAATACAAAACACTTGTAACACAGAAAAAACTGAAAATATGTTTCAATTATCAAAATAATTGTATCAAGCAAGTTTTGCACCTATCACCAAAATGATGATATCAATTATCAAATTTGTAAAAAAATTAAAAAAACATACTTTTTTCAAATAACGAATTAATCAGAACAATTAATATCGATAATTGAGACAAAATTTAAAATTGATTAATTCATTAATTGTATAAATTAAATATTTAATAAAAATAATATCTATTTTTTTATTAATTTATTAATCAAATGAATTAGTTTGTTTGGTAGAAAATTTATGAAAAACCAATTAAGTTGATGATTAAAACAATCAAATTATTAATTGATTACTCACAATATTAAGGGAATACTTTACCCTTAAACAATGCGTTGAGCATTTACAAAAAATATCACTTTATTATCAAATTTGAACATATAAAGTGTTTTATAAATTGTCAAGAAACTTGAATATTATATGCCTAAAATCTTATTGACTATTTAAGAATTATAAACATTGTTAGCATAAGAAATCAAAATAAAATATTTAAAAAAAGCTAAAATAGAAAAGTTGGCCAGAAAATTTTTTTCAATCAATTAAAAAAGTAATTGAATCAATTAAAAATTTAATCAAATTTGTAAACTTAGGTTTTAAACAATGAGATAATCAAGACAAATAAAAAATTGTTTAAATTAAAATTAAAGAAAGAGAAAAACATGTTAATTGAAAATAAACTACCGATAATTTTTTCTGTGAATAAATACAAAAAAACTTCAAGATTACTGAGTTTAAGGTGAATGATACCGAAATAATAAAATAAAAACATAATAAAAACTTCATTCATACGTAAATAAAACCAAAATTCCCATAAAAAATGCGTTATTCGTACTATCGAACAGAAAAATTGTGACTTTATTCGTACTATAGAGTAGACAATGCAACAATTTTGCCATTCGTATTATGGGAATAAAGAGTATACGTACTATTGGACGTCCACTGTATAAGGATTTGTAAATGTCCAAAGTATGTATTGTGACTCTTGTTTATAAAGAATAGCTCTGTAAGTTATGAACTAAGAGTACAGTTTTGAATGTAAATCATACGAGGTATGTTTATTTGTACTTAAAATATCATCAAATGTGAGAAATTGACTCATCCACTTTTTTAAATGACTGATTCATTAGGTTACATTTTGTTAAGATACAACTGTTACTTTATGACGAGAAATGTGTGTTCTACTAAAGTAATGTGAACAAATACCTACACGCGACATAATGTAACACTACACGTACATAAACGTACATACATACATACATTTTAAATGCTGTATACAAATCGATTATACATTTTTTTTAATTATTATGGGTTTATTGAAGTGCAATGTGTTTGCAAATATACAAATATTATACAGCTGGTCGTATAAAATAATGTTTATACTATGTGCCTCGTTAGTATTCTAGATTTCATTTTAATTTATGATTAGTATTCCAACAAGTTTCCGAGATATGAGCAAAAAATTCCATGTCCATATATTTACAAAAAAGTATTAAAAATAACTATTTAAAATGTTTATTATATCCCAGCAAAAAAGTGAGGAAAAAGATGTCGAATTTTCACCATAAATAACATACTTGAAGTACTTAAACATTTTGGTTAAAAAACAATAAATTTTTCACAAGCTTATCATTGGAGCAGTAAAAATCTGATATTTGGATGTTAAAAATAAACCACATTCTTCCAATGACACACTTATTTAAATATTATTTGTTTTTCATTTTCGAAGTGATATACATACATATGTATCTCGAGGTCTATTGTCTAGGTTTATATTTAAATGAATTATTATTGGATTATAAATGCAAAAAATATCTAATCGCATTTACTGCTGTGTTTAATATGTCGTTTGTAAAGTATGACTTCCATTATTTTTTTGCTGGGATAGATTATTTTTTAATTTTTCAACTCAACAAAACTTATAAAAATTAAAATTTGAAATTATATTATATAAATTTTCAACATTTTGGTAAATATGTACTTATGCAATGAAATTATTTCACATATCTCGGGAACTCTTAAGCACTAAAAAAGCAGTTTTTTAAAGAAAAAAAAAAAAAAAAATAGTAATAACAAACACACATTGGAGGTACAAATAAATTTAGGCAACAAATGTGCCATCTGGGGAATTTTATATAGCTAAAAGGAAATTGGCATATACATAGCTTCTCAGCATAATTAGTAAGAAATTAAAAGTCTGCAAAAATATCGTGTTCGCTAAGCGAGATATTGGGGGTCAAAGGTTATTAAAATCTGTTTTTGGTTGAAGAATATTTTTGTATATCATTAGTTGTTTTTGAGCTATAGTACGTTATTTTTCTTATACACGATTATGCGTTTTATCTCAGAATTGCCCCACGACCCATAGATCAAAGTCTGTCTATCCATAATTTAAGATAGTATCACAGGTCCTATTTATGATTAGAATTAGAAAAAACTTGGTGGTCACAATCCACATATTTAGAGTAATATTCCCAACAAATTTTATTAAAATCAGACTTTATCTTTAAATATGTTTGTACATAGAAATTAATATGTATGTACATACATATGTATATTAGGGTATAACTTTTTGGGGCGGCAAAATACCACAGCACTATCTTATATCCAATACTATCCAAATAATAAAAGGCTATCTTTTAAGTCTATTTGGTGAAAAACTTCCCACACCGAAAACAATTTCTAAAATTCTTTTGTTCGTTATTTTTACTAAAAAACTATTTTTTTTTTTCGTATTTAAAAAATGTAATATTTATACAAAATTTCACGCCTTTGGTGCGGGATCTTTTTTCACGATCGCGAAAAAATAATATCATATTCCTTAGCATCTGTCCTACAAGGTTCTGCTATGTTGTTTTTGATATTCGCAAGAATTACAAAAAGTCATACCCTAATATACATACATATGTATGTATATTTAAAAAATGAGCTTGACAAAATTTTAAAATATGTAAAACATACCGCATCAGTTATAATAATTTCTCGATTATTTCGAAAAGAAATAAACACTGCTTGTGCCGGGCCGAAGCTATTTAAGAAAATTAATATGATAATATTTAATACAATATTAGCAAATTTTACAATCACCACAAATAAATCTGTTTGATTCATTATAGCTTTCTTGTGCCAAGTAAATGAATGTTTGCATTTTTTAATTTGACTTTTACTTCGCTTAAAACACATTCTTGATTAATATATGTAAATATTTTTTTACTTCATATTTTAATAAAGCAATTCAATTTTTAATTTTCCACTTGTTATTAGAATGCATATTATCCTAATATTGCATTTCTGCGTTGATATGTAAAATATTTTAAGCGAATATACCACCGTAGGTATTTGTGTACGCGTATGACAATCAACGATCGAATGCCTGTTAACGACTGGAAGCAATCGCCTTAACAAATTTAGCTTGCAATCCGATTTCTTCAATAATAAATACAAGGGCTTGTATCGTGTGTACAACACAAGCCCATGATCGGTACTGTAAACCTGTTGCCAACAAAAAAGTCCAACGTAGAGTACATAGCAACGTAAATGTATACACGTACATTTATGTTGTATGTACGTAAACATTACAACATATCCAACTATATTTTGTTTATTTAGGATGCCGGCGTAAGGCTAGCTACTGACTTGTGCGTCAGCATTAGCAAACAGTTAAAACGATATCACGTACAAGCAGCATTTTATTATATATGTATATGTATGTACCTATTGAGCTACGGTTTGTTTAAACTTTATCAATGGATATATTGGTTTCCATATTTAAAAGAAAATAAAACTAAGATGTACGTACATATGTATGTACAAACATACATACAAGTCGATGTTTTTTCAAACATTTCAACAAATGTTTCAATATACTAATATATATATGTATGTACATATCGCCACCTAAAACGCAAACGGCCCTATTTAACATTTTTAAAATTTTACAGAAGAAGACAAAAACTATTTAAATTGAAAAGTTTTTTAATAGTGAAAGCTATCATTTGTATGTATGTATGTACATATGTATGTATGTATGTATGTTTGTATGTATGTATGTATGTATGTATGTATGTATGTATGTATGTATGTATGTATGTATGTATGTATGTATGTATGTATGTATGTATGTATGTATTGTATGTATGTATGTATGTATGTATGTATGTATGTATGTATGTATGTATGTATGTATGTATGTATGATGTATGTATGTATGTATGTATGTATGTATGTATGTATGTATGTAGGTATGTATGTATGTATGTATGTATGTATGTATGTATGTATGTATGTATGTATGTATGTATGTATGTATGTATGTATGTATGTATGTATGTATGTATGTATGATATGTATGTATGTATGTATGTATGAGAGATGTTGTATGTATGTATGTAGTATGTATGTATGTATGTATGTGTATGTTGTTGTATGTATGTATGTATGTATGGTCTGTCTGTATCTGTCTGTCTGTAGTCTGTCTGTGTATGTATGTCTGTCTGTTGTTGTATGTCTGATGTATGTCGTGTATGTCTGGATGTGTCTGGTCTGTATCTGTTGTCTGTCTGGTATGTCTGTCTGTATGTCTGTATGTATTGTGGTTGTATGTCTGTCTGTCTGTTGTATGTTGTATGTATGTATGATGTGTCTGTCTGTCTGTTGCTGTATGTAGGTGTCTGTTGTAGTGTCTTATGTGTGTACGTATGTATATAAAACTGGAAAAATTGCACTTTTATACCTTTAAATATTTAATGTTTTGTAGATAGTTCCGAAAACGTCAGGGCTTGAAATATAGTTCGGGCAATACCGAAAATTAGTTATACCGAGTTCGTTATAAATGAGTTTGACTGTAGGTTAGGTTGACAGGAAGATGTATATTAAATTAAATACGAAGAAATACTCCTAGGGCACTACATATCGCCCAGCGATATGCCTTGTTGATGCTATCCTCTATGTGGTGTCTCCATTTTAATTTCCGGTCAAGGATTACACCTATGTACTTAACTTTGTCTGTCACCGGTATCTTCTTGCCCAGTAAGCAAGGTTCAGTATACGTACAAATTTTGTACTTTCTTGTGAAAAGATAGATTTCTGTCTTCGCCGGGATGAGCCCAGCTCAAGACCGTATTCAGTGCCTCCTTAGCTCTTCTACACAAGTAATTTGGATCTTTTACCTTTAAAAGTATTACGACACCGACTGCATAGCAGTCTAAGGTCTAAGTGATTTCTCGGTTAGGGTCCTTAGGAGGCTATTAATCGTGGTAACCAAGAGTAAAGGTGAAAAAATGCCACCCAGTGGTATACCACGAAATACCTTTTTCGTGATAATTAAATCGTACATCTCGCAGCTTATCGATCTGTTCCTTAGCATGTAGTTGATGCAGTTACGGAGCACCCGGTCAACATAAAACTGATCTAGAGATTGGATAAGATTATCAGTTTGCACGTAATTGAAGGCGCCTTCGATGTCAATGCATACCGCCAGTGTATACAGTTTGCTATGGAATGATTCACCTATGTAGTGGACTACTTTGTTGTCCACCGATCGGTTTTCACCGATCGTCCCTATACTGCTTTTAATCATATTATCGACTATCCGTTCCAAGGCTTTAAGTAGGAAGGACGTAAGACTTATCAGTCTTAGGTGTCGCATAGCTAGGTTTCCCTGGTTTGGGTATAAATATTACCCTTGCATCCTGCCATTTAACTAGTGTACGGAAACCAGTCCCGCCTCTATCTGCAAAAGTGCCGGGAAAATTCTATAAAGCCCTGCAGCTTTATAGGGAGCAAAGCTCTTGATTGCTCCTTTAACCATATCAATATCGTTTCATCTATGTTATTCGATATACTGGGTGGGAAATGAGAGTCCATTAGGAGTTTCATTGTCTCCAGCCTCTTTTCCGTGTCATCGACCATTTTTTTATCTTCAATACGTCATTTACGCTGTCTACTTGTTCACAGAAAAGTTTCCAGGAATCTCGTTTGGATTTTTGGAACAATTTTATATTTTTTTCACCATGTTTTCTACGATACTCATCCCAGTATACTGCGGTTAAATAGTTTGCGAAGACTCTTCCCAAGATTCCGGGCCTCCCCTGTTGCCCAGGGTTTTTCTCCTGGGCTCTCGAAGAGGGCAACTGTCCTCGAACAATTCAACCAGGGCACTTGTGAGCATTTCTACTTTGGCATCTATGTCCTTTATTACGACATTGAAAAGTGTCCTAACATAAGCGGACCTTTAGTAAGGTCCCAAACATTATCTTATACTTCTTCTCTGATTCTATTGACGATGCTAGCTTTATTACCTATGAAGCGGCAGAATCAATACTTGATTTAATGTCCATATTTTTATACCCGATATTTTCTTCATATTTTATATTATTATATGATTCTTTCTTCTCCTCTATATTTGTATCCTCGATTTTTTCTTCATATTTTATATTATTATATGATTCTCCCTCCGGAGTCTTTGTTAAAATCTTGCCAAAATTATTTAATAACTTCTTTGTAATAACTCTTTTGTGTTGTTGCGAATTCAGTCATTGACTTATTTTCATATTGTTTATTTAAATTTTCCATTGTTGGTGAAGAGTTCGAATGTTTACTAGTTGAACTCTGAATTGTTTCAGTAAATGAGCCAGCAGGAAAATGAATACTTGATTTAATATCTGTAACATCTTTTACCCGCGATTTTTTCTTCAAATTTTATATTTTTATATAACTCTCCCTCTGGTGTCGGTGTTGAAATGTTTAATTTATTTATTTGTTTTTCTTTGCCTTCGGAAATGTGTGTATACAGTAAAATTTGATTCACATATGTTGTTGTAAATTCAGAATATATTTTAGTCTTAAACTCATTTGAATCAATCAGCATACCTTGGACGAAAATATTATTATGATCTGTAAAAAATCCATTAAATACATTTTGAATTTATATTAAATTAACCGATAAAGTTAAATTGCTTAATGTGCGTTATTTTTGTATAGATATACATTTTTACAAAATGTTTATTATTGAGAAAATATATTCAATATATTGAATATATGTAAATATACACTTCCGCTCACATAAATAGGTTCACTGCTTTGTTTATATTCAAATTAATTTTTTGCAAAAAATAACCGACTTACTGTCGATTATTTCCAGTAAGACAAAAATTGGCACAATACCTAAGAGCTGATTATTAATATTTTTTTCTAACATACTACGTTTTTGAGCTATATTTTTGGGTTCACTTGATTATGTTCATTCATAATAAAATCAGTTTACTGCTGGCATTGGGTAAAAACCATTCATATTCTAACGTCTGTGAATATATATATACTGCCTATATATAGGCAGTATATTTTAAAATTTTAATATTACTAATTAGTCCATTACTGTTTTGCAAAAAATTAATTTTAATGAAAACAAAACAGTGAATCTATTAGATACCTTTGCTTTGCATAGCATATATATTCTGAATCCTTATAGATAGCGGAGTCGATTAAGTCATGTCCGTCTGTGTGTCTGTTGAAAGCAGTTTTCTGAAGACCCCAGATATTTTCGTGATCCAAATCTTCAATAATTCTGTCAGACTTGATTTCGAGAAGTTTTCTATTTAAAATCAGCAAAAGACGTGCATAAATAACGGAGATATAAGCAGAAATCCGAGACAACCTTAGATGTATGTGGGTTACATTGCATTGTGTATTTGTATGTTTTTTTTTTTTGTGTGTTTTATTTCGTTTAAGGCTCAATGCTCAGTTAGTCTCTACTAGAGCCCTGCATGAGTGACATAAATAGTACTTTAAAACATTTTATTTTTTTAACATTTTATTTTTTTAAGTACTGTTTTCGATTCACGTGTCGTTTTTTAAATGAATATGATAATGTATTCAAAACAATAATGTATTTGACAAAATCTCAAATAAAGTAAAATATGTACATGAAATTGAAGAGTATAGCATAATATGAGTAATGAGAGTGTTTTTGTGTTTCAAATCGAGTTCAAAACAGTGAGTGAATCGAATCATAGAAGGATTTATTACGTGTTTCAATTGGAATGCAATTCTTTGAATGAATAATCGCATGAAATATAAGAACTTTTATAATTATATATTAGCATTAAGAGCTCCTACTTTTTGTGGAACTGGAACATATATCTCCGTTTTTTCAGCGATTTTTTGGGGCTTTTTACCTAAATGTAGACCAAATGAATTGTTGGATATTTCTCTCCCTCTAGCCACATCGAGGCTTCAAAGGAACAAAATTATGTCCAACATAGCAGTTATATCTTTTAATTCAATAATCTGTATTCGTCCCTTTTCAAATTGATTTTCGATATCATGTATTTTTATTTATATTAAAAAAAATGTTTCTTTTGGCATTTAAAACTCGATTTACTCGATTCAAAACATT